TAGTACTGTACTGTATTAAAAAAAAAATCTCTGGGGGCGCCTGGGTGGCTCAGTCAGTTGAGCGTCCGACTTCGGCTCAGGTCACGATCTCACTGTCTGTGAGTTCGAGCCCCGCGTCAGGCTCTGTGCTGACTGCTCAGAGCCTGGAGCCTGTTTCGGATTCTGTGTCTTCCTCTCTCTTTGACCCTCCCCCATTCATGCTCTGTCTGTCTCTGTCTCAAAAATAAAATAAAACGTTAAAAAAAAAGAAAAATCTCTAAGTGGACCCATGCAGTTCAAATCTGTGTTGTTCAAGAGTCGGCTGTAGTCACAAGCATACCATCACAACAGGTGACTTTTCCCTTTTTTTTATTGCTCTTTTATTGTAGTCACTATGTGTTTTTAATAACTCAATACGTTTTGATAGCTTAATCTATCTACCATGTGAACCACAGAATGTAGAAACAGGTTTTCATTAATCCACTGGTGAACTGTCCAGCCAGGCATCCTGCGTGGGTTGAAATAAAGAAGGGAACCTCCAGGGGGGCCTGGGTGGCTCAGTCGGTGAAGCGTCCGGCTTCAGCTCAGGTCACGATCTCGAGGTCCGTGAGTTCGAGCCCTGCGTCGGGGCCCTGAGCTGATGGCTCAGAGCCTGGAGCCTGCTTCCGATTCTCTGTCTCCCCCTCTCTCTGCCCCTCCCCCATTCACGCTCCGTCTCTCTCTGTCTCAAATATAAACAAACATTAAAAGGAAAAAAAAAGAAGGGAACCTCCATTTCATAGGTAAGCCATGATGACTTTTCCAGAATGGTTGAAAACCTCGGTTTCCCTAATTGTCCGAACGGCCAGGGTCTTTTTGTGCTGTTTTTGTTTTCCCTTAGCTCTTTCTTCCCAAGACACCAGGGGGGTTTAGCTGTCTTTGTGGGAGGCTGTTAAAGCCAGAGTTGGTGGCCTTTTCCACTTTTAGCCCCTTTGATTTCCTGTCAATTTTGGATTTTTTCTTTCCCCTTCCTGTGCAGTTGTTTGGGCTGGCAAGCCCAGTTGGTCACAGCATGATGCTAATGAGATTGTAGTCGAGGACCTCTTCCCTGTGTGGGCAGTTCTATTTCTGGAGACACCCTACCCAGTGTGTCAATTCAACCAGCGCACATTATATGAGGGGTAATGACTTATTTGGGGGATGCCTACTATATCAGTATGTCACAAACTCACCTAGTAAGGAAACCCATCTGATGTGAAATGGAGATTCTCAGCCTCCTTCTCAGGAGATTCAGATTCGGCAGGCTTTGGGCCAGGACCTGGGGTCCTGTTTTTTTATAAAAGCTTCTGGTGATTCTCATCAAGCCAGTCGGATATTAACTATGTTGTTCAACAGCTGTGTCTTCAGGGCAATTGGTTATGTGCTGGGCCTTTTGTCCCCGGACCGATTGTTCTGCCAGTTTTCACGTTGTTAGGTCGTCTGTAGATTTTTCGTTGGTGGCCAGCACACCTGTCTTTCAGCAAAGATCATGAAGCTTGTTAGAATTCTTTCAAAAGGAAAAACTACCTCTGCGTGCGGGCCTGAAGGTCTGTGATTTTTAGTGCAGGGACTAGGTGTGATGTCTTCTGATTGCCGAGAGGCCGGGATTTTTTATTTATTTTCCGGGTCCTAAACTGAGTTCTGCTCAGTGGAAGTTGCCAGCCCAGTGACCACTTTGGAAACATGAGGTGTTAACTTTGTAAATATTTTCTTTTGAGATCTTGAAGTTTGTGTATGAGTGACAAGCGAAATGAAGAAATGAGGTTCTTGAATAGAGCCTTCAGAGGATCAAAGTTAGCCTGGCAAAGTATTGTAGAAACAATACCGGCTTTGGATTCACTCAGATCTGCGTGTGACTTGGGCAAAAATTGTTTAACCTTTCCAGGCTTCACTTTCCTCATCTGGAAAATAAGCAAGAAGCCTAGTGACCCCCTTGTCCGGTGAAACTCGGATGAGGTCATGAATCTGAAAGCACTTTGGGAAGTTAAAAAGCACTCTATCACTACCAGGTATTGTGTTGCTATTATTACTCCTGGTAATAGTAGTATTTCCCTTTCTTTCCTCGTGTTCTTACTCCCCAGTGGTGCTATGAAATCCTTGCATTTTTTGGCAGCAGAATTGCCTGAAAAATATGCTAGGGGGAAAAAAGTGGGAAGAGAATCCTAAGAAAAAACCAGGCAGAGGGAACACAAATGTTTTCCATTAGCGGAAGAAAAGCGGGGGCAGGTTTTCTGATCCCCTGTGGGAAAGTCACAATACGGGAACCTCAGTAATGTCTGATGGCTGCTTTCTTGCCCTTTGCAAGGGACACGGCCGCATCATCTGGAGAGAAAGACAAACACACCTTAGGAAAGGTGGGAGAGAGTTTGGACAAATGGTATGTCTCAGGGGGTCACCTCTTCTCCGTGTCTTCTGCCAGCCCAGGGAAAAATCTGACTCAAAAGAACAGCCATGATTGACAGTTTTCAAAATACCTGTCGTCCAGGGCACTCTGTACTTCTTGAGGAAGTGGGGGACCAGCCGTGCTAATTATCAGATTGATTATGCAGGCCGACCGTGTGGGGTCGGTACCAGATTCCTTTCCTAGATGAGGAAACTGCAGCTCAGATGAGGAAACACGGGCGCCTAGCGGTCCTTAGTCATGCAGTTTTCCAGAGCTCTTGGCCTCTCCCATCTGTCTGTCTCGCTGCCCACTTTTCAATGCAATTAATGCAGCGAAGACTTGCTTTTTTCTAGTTCATTCTATTTCGTTTCAGTTTTACTGAGTCCGGATATGTACTGTTAAGTTCTACGGGACCCAATATAGGACATACGTAGGAGTCTTTTTTTTTTTTTTAACTTTTATGTTTGTTTATTTTTGAGAGAGAGAGAGAGAGAAAGTGGGGGAGGAACAGAGAGAGAGAGAGGGAGACATACAATCCAAAGCAGGCTCCAGGCTCTGAGCTGTCAGCAGAGCCCGACGCGGGGCTCGAACTCACGAACTGCGAGATCATGACCTGAGCTGAAGTTGGACGCTTAACCGACTGAGCCACCCAGGTGCCTCGGACATAAATAGAAACCTGAAGGATCACGTTGGGCAGTGAAGAGCTAGCTGTATATAATTAATGGCAAAACAGCTCAGAGTGTGTTGAATGAGCCTTTCTGTAGGAACAGTTCTCCACTGCCTTAGATTCATGGAATCTTTAGAATTTGGAAGGGGCTTGGAGGCATGATGATCAACAATATCAAGGTCTTTTTTTTTTTTTTTTTAATTTCAGCCAGAAACACAGGGCTCTTGGTCGGGAGGTCGGAGAGGGAGGCACAGACTTTAGAGTCAGACAGATGAGAGCTTGCCTGCTAGTACTGGCTTTGTACTCTCAGGAAAGTCACTGAGGGGCACCTGGGTGGCTCAGTCGGTTGAGTGTCCGACTTCGGCTCAGGTCATGATCTCACAGTCCGTGGGTTCGAGCCCCGCGTCGGGCTCTGTGCTGACAGCTCAGAGCCTGGAGCCTGTTTCAGATTCTGCCTCTCCCTCTCTCTGCCCCTTGCCGGCTCATGCTCTGTCTCTCAAAAATGAATAAACGTTAAAAAAAAATTATAAAAAAAAAAGGAAAGTCACTGCCTGTGTGCGAGGCCTCCATTTTCTCCTTTGTCGGTGGGATGGTACGTGTGTTGTAGGGTTGTGAGACTCTGCCAGGCATAGTGCCTGGTGCGGGACGCTCAGCAGGTGGTGGCGGCTGTTGTCATCCTTGTCACTGTGTCCTCATCTGGGCCCTTGATCTGATAAGAGGAGCCCGAGGCCTGAACTGGGTGGTGATCGCCTGGCCATCATGGAGGAGCAGGGCCTCCAACCAGTGTCTTGCCTTTTATGCCATTTTTCCTGTGTTGTGTGGCTGTGAGTTTGAAATCAGCATCGTTCGTGAGGTCCAGTTCTCCAGAACTTCTCTTTTTTCCCTTGCTGGTGTCAAAGGAAGAACAAGGCAAATGGGTTAACTTGTAATCTAAATCGGCAGGTAGTAGTTGAGTGAGGCCAGAGACACGTGAGGCAAATTTGAAGGACAAGGCAGCTTTTCGATACCATTTTTCTTCAAACCAGCACTTGTTCTGGAAAGTGCTCATTACCAAAGATCACTGCTGACTGATTGGAGTTTGAACAGGCGCCCACTTTTTCAAACGCTGTATCAGGAGGGAAGAAAAAGAAAACCAAGTTTGCGAAGTTTTTGCTTTTTAAAAGCTTCTTGAGGTAGAAAATATTCTCATGTGACTGAGGAGGAAACAGAGGCTCTCAGATTAAATAATTTCCTCAGGGTCATGCACTAATTACTGGTGCCAACATTCAAAAGAAAGCTGGGTCAGGTTCTCCAACATCCTTGTGGAACTCTCCTTCCTTTAGATCCAGATTTATAAATTAGAATGTGCATTAAAGTCCCCCCAATTTAAAAGCAAACCAAACAACACACATGAGATCCAGTTGGAAACTTTTGAAAGGAACTTGTTGATCTCTGTGTTCCTTGAAAGTATATGTTGCAATCAGAATATTGGTGGTAAGTGTGTTTTTGAGGTTTGTCACAAATTAACAAAATTATATGCCTCGAGAGTTTTGCAGAGAAATGCAAATCAGTATAAGCGCCTTGTCATAATAAGCAGTATGCTTTGGTTCCTGTTTATGTGCACCCAAAGCACATAATGCACATAATTATATTGACACGAAGGAAGCCGTTCTCATTGATGGTTTCTTTATATCTGGCCCCCAAATTAGTTTGTGGTATCAGTCGGTATAATTTCTAGAGAGCCTGTTTAATTAAGTCTAGGTTGGTACCTGTCTTTCGAGTAGGGGTCTTGTCTTCCACGGATGTTCCTTGAACACCTACTATATGCTGGGTCCCTCGGGGTGTCTTGACCTTTAAGAATTCCTCAGGCTGGGGAGTGAGAAACAGACTTGCATACTTGTGCACACTAAGTGTCGCTGATGTGGAGTGATAGAGGAGGGGCTCTAGCAGAGAAGTGAAGAGTGGGGAAGTTTGCCTGAGCGACTGGAGCTGGGTCATGCAAGAGAAATCCTGGCTTACATGCCCGGAAAGAGGAGACGGCGAGCCAGCAAAGGGACCAGCAGGTGCTGAGCCGTGGAAACAGGAACATACATCCGGGAAGGGTGCGTATGCGAGGCTGGGGTGTAAGCACAGCATTGTGTGTTTGTATTGTGTGTGGGAGGGAGAATGTTGTGGATGAGGCTAGAGAGATAGCTTGGAGCCAGATTATAAAGGGGGGGCTGTGAAAGGCAGGCAGCCGAGGAACTTGAACTTTATTTTGGAGGACCAGCCGAGCAAATGAAATTTTATTTTTGTTTTCGTTTTCCTTTTTATTATGGAAAATGTCATATAGAAACCAAACACCATATATACCTAGGCGTGGAATTGCTGGGTCATATGGTAACTCCATGTTTAACTTTTTGGGGAACTGCCAAATTGTTTTTCCATGGCGGCTGCAGCATGTTTTAGAAATAGCGTAACATTAGTTGAAATATGTCAGGAAAAAAATTAAAGGTTTTATAGACGACGTTTGGAATTAACATATTCATGAACCATTTTTAAGAGAGGATTCATCTACTCTGATTTGTGTTGGAGATCACTGGGTCTGAGGAGAGGGAAATTGGAGAGTGAGGACCAGTTATTAGGGAGGCAGAGAAGAGAAGGTAAGAAAGATGACAGAGAGGGGCGCCTGGGTGGCTCAGTTGGTTAAGCATCTGACTTTTCATCTCGGCTCAGGTCACGCTCTCACAGTTTGTGAGATCGAGCCCGCTGATGGGCTGTGTGCTCTGGGCTCTGTGAGGATAGCGCAGAGCTTGCTTGGGATTCTCTCTCTCTGCCCCTCCCCCAGTGGCACACACTCTCAAAATAAATAAATAGAAAGAAAGGGAGGGAGGGAGAAAAATTAGGTAGATAGATAGATAGACAGGTAGGTAGATAGAAAGAAAGAAAGAAAGAAAGAAAGAAAGAAAGAAAGAAAGAAAGTTAGATAGACAGACAGACAGACAGCTAGTTCCTGATCTCCTTGGTGGGAACCTCCGAACAGTGGTGCTGTTACTCCCTCCCTCCACACTTTCAAGGCAGTGCTTATATAAGACTCAATGAAACCCATCTTGTAGGACTACTAAAATGCTTTATGTTCATAACCTTACTAGACCAGTGAACTTGTGAGTTATCTCTGCACCCCTGCCTCCCGGAACTTTTAGTTTCTCAAATGCCCCTGAAAATAAACGGGCCATTGGATATCCTCCTGGTTTAGAGAAACAATTTTTCTTGGATTGTAATGCTGTCTTTAAAACGGCGTTGTTGAGGTGTAATTCAGGTACTGTATAATTCACCCATTTAAAATGTACAGTTCACTGGCTTTCTGTATATCCTACGGACTTGGGCAACTGTCACCACATTCAATTTTTAGAACATTTTCATCCTGTAAAAAGAAACCCGTACCTGTCAGCGGTCACTCTCCATTTACCCTCCTGGTCCTGCCATCCCACGGCAAGCACTTATCAACTCTTTGTGTCTAACGCATTCACCTCTTCTGGACGTTTCATGTAAGTGGAATCGTCTATGTGGTCTTTGTGAATGGCCTCTTTCACTCAAGATAATATTTTTAGGGTTCATCCATATTTTATCACATATGAACAACATGTTTGTTCAGCATGTATCAATACTTCATTTACTTTTGTTGCCAAATAATATTCCATTGTATGGCCATACCACATTTATCAGTCAGTAAGACCTCTGGGTTATTTGCACTTCCTGGCTATTACGAATAATGCTGCTCTGAACATTCGTTGTACAGACTTTGTGTGTGGCTATGTTTTCAATTCTCTTGGGCATGTATACTTAGGAGTGGAATTGCTGGACCCCATGGTAACTCCGTGTTTAATTTCTTGAGGAAACTGCCAAACTCTTTTCCACAGCGGCTGTACCATTTTAGAAATATCTTAAGATCGGGGCCGCCTGGGGGGCTCAGTGGGTTAAGCATCCGACTTCAGCTCAGGTCGTGATCTCGCACTTTACGGGTTCGAGCCCCGCGTCGGGCTCTGTGCTGACAGCTCGGAGCCTGGAGCCTGCTTCGGATTCTGTGTCTCCGTCTCTCTCTGCCCCTACCCCTCTCGCATTCTGTTTCTCTCTCTCTCTCTCTCTCTCCCTCAAAAATAAATTAAAAAAAAAATTAAGGAAAATTTCTTCAGGTTAATTAAAATATGTAAGGAGAAAACACAAAAGTTTTACCAAAGACCTTTGGAATTAACATATTCATGAAACCACTATAGTGTCCCTTTGTTCTCAGGGCCATTTTCCACAAAGAAGCAAAGTTTCTAATCAGTTTACTACTGTCCCTGGGTTTAAGATGAGTGGGCAGAGAACAATAAAGCGGACCGAGGAAAAAGATGCCGGGTGGTCAGCTAGGCCGCTCACCCGCTGAGTAACCTATTTCCACAAACGGGGATGTTACAGGCAGATTCCTGCCTCGGCAACATGAAAACAAGACTTGGATCTTCAGAGCCTCTTGAAAACAGTTAAAAGTGCAGATGTTAATATTAAGACCTGAGTATTCCTGAGATCTGTCTTACAGTCTTTTTAAGGCTGTGGAATAGAGCTGTCGTGTCTGCTAAGGTTGTTCCTTCACTCTCCCCCCTGCCCCCAGTTGTGTGGCTGTGTACATAATGATCATGTCAGAAATGAGAATTACCACCTGTCTTTTGGACTTGTGCTGGGTGCCGGAGATGGTAAAGAGCGTAAGACCCGAGCACAAATCTTTAGGAATTAGTTTAAGTATCATGCTGTAAGTTGTACTACAAATGAAACGGTAAGGGCGTGAAAAACCACAGATATTACAAAAGGGTGAGGAAGAGACTCACCTTTGTTTATTTTTTAAAGTTTATTTACCTTTGACAGAGAGAGACAGAGCGAGGGGGGAGGGGCAGAGAGAGAGAGAGAGAGAGGGAGAGAGAATCCCAAGCAGGTTCCACGCTGTCAGTATGGAACCTGATGTGGGCTCCAGCTCCCAAACCATGAGATCATGACCTGAGCCGAAACCAAAAGTCGCATACTTAAGACTGAGCCACCCAGGTGCCCCAACACTCACCTTTATTAATAGGAACATTAGTTGCTGTCTCGCTTGATCTCTACAATAACAGAATAAGGTAGGTGTCAATGACCTGGTTTTACAACGCGGAGAAGGGAAATGATTTGGCCAAGGTCACACAGCTCATGTGTGTTGGGGCTGGCCTGGGACTCAGGCCTGCCAAAATAATGTTAATTGCTGACATTTATCAAGTACTAGCTCTGTCCCTCTCACTGGGTTAAGCAGTGTGCCCTCATTCTCTTATTTAATCCTCCCAATGAACCTGTGGAGTCCTTATTACCGATATCTCCATTTTATAGGACCGAGGTTCAGAGAGGTTAAAAAATAACTTCTTAAAGATTATGGGGCAAGTGAGTGTCAGTGTTGGGGTCAGAGCTAAGCAGTCTGTCCCATAAGACCAGGCTTTACTGCTTTTGTTCTCCGGGTGCTTCTGAAGCCCCCTGTGTCCGTACTAGTCCGTGCTGGCCTTCACATTGGTGACACATGATGAATTGTCCAACATGAGTTATATTTGTGATTCTCACCCGGGGTTCTCTGGGCCTGTAAAGCTCCACTGGGGCAATTATGGGGCATCTTATGCTATTTTCTGTACTTCAAAAATAGCTAACATGTACTGCACATTCATTTACCCACAGTCAATTAGACTGGACTAACTCAGACCGTCAGCCTCTGCCTAGACGAGTCAAAGCATTGGTGTTCTGTGCTGTGACTTGAATGTGTAAGGACACTTGTCCACTCACTCTGGTCCTGCTGGTTATCTCTTCTCATTCGGAGATGGGATTGGCACTGTCTATGCTTTGTTTTACAAAAGCGGAGAAATGATGTAAAATACAGTTTACTTGGTAAATAAGGACATCTTCCAGAGGTCACAGAGGGTCAAGAAGGAAGTGGCAGGTATCTTTGGTGGTGAAAAGGTTGAGCATTCCTGGATGGAGAAGCCGCTCTGTGAATCTAGAGCAGAGGAAACCACCAGGTCATGGGAAGGCGGCCCAAATGGAAGAGGGGCTGGAACCAAGCCTTTGTCACCGGCATCAGGCAACAGTAATGGGTTGTTGTGTTAGTGACCTTTTCGTTCCATGGGCTCGATGTGCTGTGCTTGTGGTGTGATGTAACCTTTGGGTCCCATGGAGAAATTGGCGCTTTTCTGGTTAGTGGCTGTGGGTGCAGTACCTTCATTAGATGCGGTGAATAGAACTTCTCCCAATAGCCTCTTCCCCACAGATGACCCACATTTTTGTGGAGTTGGTGACCACCAACAGGAAGTTGCAGACATGCTTGTCAGCCGCACGGTGGATTTCATTAGACACTTGCCCACAGTAGCTGATTTGGTCAATTTGGCCTCCATTGGTTTCTAGGGAAGAATGACCTGATGTATTAGTTCTCATCATTGCATTGGTCTTGGCTGTCATCTTGGCCTTGATGGACATTTTGATGAAATGTATAGTGTTGTCTTTTGAACAGCTGTACCTACTTTCAGCAGGCTAGGATTTTTAAAATATTGCCAAGGGTGTTACCAACTTAGCCGAGTCTTTTGTTTGATGGGCTTCTCACTTAAATCTCTTTGGAGAGAGTGACTCCAATAAGTAGGCAGGAGGGATGGTCTCCACTCATTACCTGGTAAACGATTGCTTTGGAAGATCTGTATCATAGGCATTGGGTGAATGCATGATTTCCAGGGGCTGGCTGGAAAATTAAAATATGCTTCTTGGGTCAAAACATTCAAACTACTGGCCTTTCAATCCCATGGGAAAATAAGCCATCTTCATTTTTTTTTTTCTCCTTTGGTTCAATTTCCCTAGGGCCACTGATGATTGAAAAACCTTTAATCAACATTTTGCCTTAAATTTGGTGTCTGCAGTCCCGCTCATCTTGGTGGTGAAATCCAGTTATTATTAATTAATAATCTCTTTCACTGAACAGTTCCATCAAATGCATCTGAGAATTTGAACGTAAATATTTTGTTTTGCCCCAATTAATTTCTCTCATTCTAGATAGATCTCTGGCTACCTAAACCCTGAAAGCTAACAAAACAAA